GGGGCTCCAAAGACTGCTGTCAAAAGCTTGAATCTGGTGTTCTTGAAAAACCATTACCAATCTTCAGAAACAGAGATAATCTCTTAGATCTCTCAAGTATCTCAGACTGCTTCACCCCTTAGATTAAATGGTGTATCCTATATTCCTACAAATTTTTCAACAAAGAAAGACAAGCCGGGGAAAGCTATTGTAATGTTAAGCAATCTTTGTGGCTGTGTTAGATCAGGGCACAGTTGTGATTTTCTTCAAGATGGTGCTCTTAAATTCAACAAGAAAAAAATTCCTTAAAATTTTATTGATAGGATTGAACTGCATTACTCTACCTCCAGTTGTGTAGAATGCTTTGAGATGAACAATGACTGCACCAGGGAGTGAACTAGTGAAAGTAGAAGGCCCTAAAAGTGCAAGGGGAGGCCAAAGAAAATATAATCTGGATGGTAAAAAATGACTCAAGGACTTGTAATATGAAAGAAAACATGGCTCTTGATAGAGCACTGTGGCAGTACAGCATTTCTGTAGCTGACCCCAAATAGTTGGGATTAAAGCTGAGTTGAATTGAGTTGCTTTGTGTTGTGTAGAATGCTTTAATGTTTCACATCTACACATCTGTCTCTGGATAGTGTTGGGCTGTTTTGGAAAGTAAAATGGGAAATGTAAGGAGAGCAAGAGAACTATTTGATGCTGCTACAGTTGCTGATAAGAGACATATAGCAGCTTGGCATGGATGGGCCATTCTGGAGCTGAAGCAAGGGAACGTCAAGAAAGCTAGGAATCTTCTTGGTAAAGGCCTAAAATATTGTGGTGGCAATGAGTACATATACCAAACACTTGCATTACTTGAAGCTAAAGCAAATCGGATCGAACAGGCTCGGTATCTGTTCAAGCAGGCCACCAAATGTAACCCCAAAAGCTGTGCCAGCTGGCTTGTAAGTTTGGAAACCCATTCTAATTCAAGATTTCTTGTAGTAAGGCTTCTTAACAATTTCAGGCATATGATTTCAATTAAGTCTTTTTTTTTTTTTTATCTCATAAACCCGTTCACCATCAGGCATGGGCACAACTAGAGATGCAGCAGGAGAACAATCACCTTGCCAGGAAACTTTTTGAGGTAAAAAAACTTCTCCCTGGTTTAGTTATTACATGCACATGTATTCTTTTTTTTTTCTTCCACAGTAATGCTATTTTTCCATCACATTTACAAATGCACCAATGTCATTGGCGTGCAGAGAGCAATCCAGGCTAGTCCAAAGAACAGGTTTGCATGGCATGTTTGGGGAATTTTTGAGGCTAACCTTGGTAATATTGACAAAGGAAGGAAGCTTCTAAAGATAGGCCATACACTTAATCCTAGAGATCCTGTTCTTCTTCAGTCTCTAGCTTTATTGGAATACAAACACTCAACTGCAAATCTTGCTCGAGTATTGTTCAGGAGAGCAGCCGAACTGGATCCGAGGCACCAACCAGTGTGGATTGTAATGGATCTTTCCCACTTTAGCAATTTCATCAATAGCATTTCCTTCCATTTATTGATATTGATTTCCATTTTCCTAATCTAATATACCATTTTATTTTCTAGGAAACATTTAGTAACTATCTCCTATATGCTTGGTCAATCTTTATATCACAGCTCATGACATCTAAACTCTTGGATCAAGTTTACCTTAATGATAAACATCACTTGGTCCTTGTGTAGAGACCAAGGGCATGGATCATCATGGCCTAGTTCTACATTGGTACACAAAACGATGTCTACCTGATTGTTTCACCATGTTTCAATGCTTCAACTATGAAGTTCCACTTTGCTGAAAAAGAAATTTCACATTGGTCAAGGTAAAAAATTGACCATGAAGTGACTCCAAAACTTTTCAGTTAAAAGCTAAGCATGAAAACAACTAAGGATATATTGAGTAATGAAACATATATAATTTGTAAATACAATATGATAGAAATTAGAAAAGATTTTGGCCCAAAACATGCCCCTGAGCAAAATATTGAAACTTGTAAAGGCAGCCCAAACATCTCTTGCATGCTGAAGAATATAATTGTTACTATCCCTGATCAAATAGAGAGTTTAATACTTTTTTTTGAAGAATAAGAGTAAAAATTTTATTAAAACTAAAAACAGATACAAGCTGTTCAGGTGTCAAGATGACACCCCAATACTTAAGTATTAGCTTAAGTATTAGTTTCAAAGGCTAATACTTAAGTAACATTATGTGAATAGGTCCTAGATATCATTGCCTTAAAATTGATATCATATAAATCATATAGTATGTCCAGTTGTTCTTGTTGGCAACTGATGTAATTGGCTCTTAATATCAAAGGTTGTGCCAAATTTCTATTGATAAAAAAATATCTAATTTTACACTGTTACCTTCTGTCCATGTTCTAAAACTTTGCCAAATGGGAACTAGTAAGGCCCCCTAGTCAAGGGATGAAAAGTGCATTCTTTACATTTCATAAATAGTGCTGAGGGGTATGCATATGATGAGAAATGCAGATCCTGATTTTTGATGATTATGTTTGATGGTCATATTCTGACTTTGCAAATTAACAGAAAGCCAGGGACCAAGGAAGCATAGACTTCTTTTTCTCTTTCTTTTCCAGGCACATAAATGGTTTTATTTTATTCCTTTTCTTGTAGAGATGAAGAATTGAACCACATTCTTAATTTTCAGCTACTATCACACATATGTAGATGCACAATCATTTTATGCCTTTTCATTGGGTATTAGGTGTACTGTTTCTCTCAGTCTACCAAAAAATTGATCATAGAAATGGATCCAGGCTTGGGGATGGATGGAGTGGAAGGAAGGGAATATAGCCACAGCAAGAGAACTCTACCAGAAAGCACTGTCAATCAATTCAACAAGTGAAAGTGCTGCTCGTTGTCTGCAGGTAGGAACATGTCAATTGATGCTCTTTGATAGATCCTTATTCCTTAGAAGGCCTGATATCCAGTTTCTTACATGCATATATTGGATATAATAATAATGGTTTACTTCTATTTCGACTGCTGCTACAGTAGTCCGAACCAGTAAGGAGAAGAAGAAAGAGAAGGAGAAGAAGAAGAGAAGAAGAAGAAGAAGATGAAAGAACTGCCGAACCTGATAACTAAATCCTATCAGTCGACCTCTTAATAGTGATTAGGCTCTAATTAATTGTACAAAGACTAAACTGCCCCCTGAGCTTAACAAAGGTGAGTTGACTAATCTACCCTTATTCGGCTAACTCTAACACACCCCCTCAAGCTGGAGAATATATGTCATATAATCCCAGCTTGTTACATATATAGTTCACTYTCCCTGAGCTTAASGCTTTTGTAAACAAATCTGCCCACTGATCACCTGAGCYTACATGTTCTGTGCTTATCTCTCCAGTAAAA